TTGGAAAAAAAAAAAAAAAAAAAAAACTGTTAAAGAAGCAAACCCTCCAGCCACTGAGGAGCACTCCAGCATGCTGGTGTTCGGTTTGCTCTTCCCCTGCGCGGTGCTGCTCTCAAGCCCCTCCCGGCCTGCCAGCCCCCAGCTCAAGCCCTTCTTACCCGCCACCCAGCAGTCCTTCCAGCAACTCCTGGGGGTCCGCGCACACAACCCTGCCCACCTCGTCACCATCCTGACCCCGAGACGCGCTTAGCTTGTACCCGTTTTGTAACCAGTTCCTCATTTAATACTTTATAAGGAGCACTTTCTCCGAAAACCTAGGGACTAAAGTGTTCTGCACGCAGCTAGAGTTGGGGGATGGGGCGGGGGTGAAGACCCATGAGGGGGAGGTGCCGGCCGGCCCCAGAAGGGACCACCGCAGAGGGGGAAGCGTTGGAAAGAGCTGGGGAGGGGAGAGGAGCCCCGGGGCCTGGTCGTGGTCTACACTCTGAACCCGACCCACAGCACGGTCCCGGTACCCAAGGGGGGGCTCCCGGATGGAGACAGGCGCCCCCGACGCCGGAACCAACGCGGTTCTCACTGTGACAGCGAAAACTGACTAAACCCCTGGGGGTCCTTACGAGGCGGGTATTGCTCGTCCCAATCTGCAAGGAAACCGAGCTTCAGAGGCGAGGCCGCCAGCCCGGCAGAGCCTGGAGACCCCCCCTCAGGATCCAGGTCTTCCCACGCGTGGACCTGCGCTGGGAGCGGCAGGAGGGCTCCGCGCAGGGACCACGGCCGCGGCTGGGGGCACCCGCGTAATCCCACACAAAGCTAGTTCCTGATGGGGGCGGCCAGAGCACGGTGAGCAAGTGGCTCTCGTTCCCCTGCTGCCCCCGCCCCCCGCGTCCTCGCCAGCGCTCACCCGGAGCTGCCACTCCTCCACCTCGTCGTCCTTGCGCCGCCGCGCCTCCTCCAGGAGGGCGATCTTGGCCGTGTACTCGGCGAGTTCCGTGGCCTGGGAAGGGAGCCGGAGCCAGGGTGATTTCCGGGACGCTTTCGGCAGGTGCCGCTCGCGAACGCAGGATCACGTATTTTGGTACATGGCGCCACGTCCCCGTCCAGCGGTCTCCACCCACCGCCCGAGGGCCAACCACTGCAGGGCCCCCTCCCCACGGGCCACCCTACACCCTCAAGCAGGTCACCTTACAGCCCCAATACCAATTATTATAAGGCGGGTGTCACTTTTTCAATGCCCAGAGGCGGCCTCTGTAACTGAGCACCGGGAGGCCGCGCCCCCTACCAGCTGCTCCTGGCTCTTGATCTGATCCGCCGCCTGCCTCTCCAGCTCGTCCTTGGCGAGCAGCGCGGCCAGGCGCTCGGCCTCCAGGCGCTCGGCCTCCTCCTGCGCCCGCTTCCTCTCCTCCTCCAGCTTCAGGGCTCGCTGGATCTGGTCCGAGAGCTCTAGACACGGCGCAGAACCAGAGCTGCTCAAGGCTCCTGCCAGGGACCCTGCAGTCTTGCCCCGAATTCCCACCCAGAGAGGAGCGGGTGGGACACGAGCGTGAACACACCAACGCTGCAGAGCGGTGGACCGAGTTCCACGGTGCCGGGACCTCTCCTGCCCGGGACACTGAAGGGAACGCTTACGGTGGTGAAACTGCCCTACCCCAGGGCAAGCCCTGGCCGCCCCCTCGTTGCGCTGCTCTCCCCAGAAACTCAGCATCTGCACCACTCGCCCGGGGTTTCAGCTTAGAGCGGGGGAGAGGCAGCACAGCTCCGGTGACCGCAGGCCAGGCATTCTATCTCACGGAACCTTAACATCCTCATCAGAAACGGGGGATAATTCAGCCCTCCCCTCACAGGCCTGGGGGCAATTCAAAGGATTACGGTGCATAAAGCATTCAGCACAGAACCCACAAAGGTGTTAATAAAATACAAAATTATTTTCTAATCCAAACAACCGTTTTATCACGTCTCTTCTGCAAGTCTCTACTTCGGGTATGTGCTTAACTGGGACGTGTGTCCTCGGGACGGGGTTCCCTCCTGGTTGGCATGTGCCGACCATCGGCCCTGCCACCCCAGCCCACCGGGGCGGGGGCCCCACTCGCCTTTCTCTGCTTTCCTGGTCTTCTCCGCGTAGTCCTGGAGCCTGAGCATCAGCTCCTCCTTCTCACGCATCATCTGCTCTTTTTCCCTCTCCACGGTTTCTCTCCTTTTCTTCTCGGTTTCCAACTGCTGCCTGTTTCCGGGAGGGGAAGCGGTGGTGGCACAGGAGTCTCAGACTCTGCACAGCGGCCCCGTCATCCCAGCCCAGGCACACGAGGGGCAGCTGCGTCTCGGTTACCGGCTGTCCCCAGCGCCTAGTCCAGGCCCCGGGCCCGTCCGTCCAGCAGAGGACACTGGTGACAGTACTGGCCCCAGGTGCCCTGACTGCTCTCCACCTCAGGCTCGGGCTCTGCCCTGCCCACAGCGAGGCAGCTCCGAGGGCTGAGCCGCGGCCCTGCAGACTGTGATCCGCCGGCCCTCCTGCGGGCAGCAGCCCAGACCCGGCCGCCCGCCCCCGTGCCCGGGAGAACGCAGCCCGCCCGGCCCTCGTGCCGCCGCCCGGCCCTGCTCACCGCTCCAGCTGCTTCTGCTGCTTCTCCTCCCGGGCCTGGGCCTTCATCTGCTGCACCTCGATGGTGTCGGGCTTCCTGCGGCGCATGTACAGCTCGTGGTTCCCCATGCACAGCTGCAGGATCCGCTTGTTGATTCGCAGGCGGGGGGCATAGAACACGAAGTCCTGCAGAAGAGAACAGGGCACACTGCGACAAGGGGAACGCCTGCCTTTGGCTTTCTTCTTCCAAACCCGACTTCGCCCACTTCTGGAGACCTCTTCGAAACGGACAAACGTAGCAGAGGGTAGGGGCCAGAAAGGGGGTTCAAGGTAAAGCCACTGACCCCGAACAACAGAGAGATGTTCCTGGTGCCACGGGGCGCACGTTCTGCAGGACAGGCAGAGGGGGTGTGCGCGCTGAACCCCACGGCTGGACCACAAAGCTGCTAACATCATCGTCTGGCCTCTCCAGCCCCACAGCCCTCTCCGCCCCCGATTCCTGCCCGCACAGCACAGCCTCTCCTACTTCACTGAGCTCCCGTCTCCTCCGTCTCAACCTTTCGCCTCCCACACTGCTACCAGCGCACCGCCAGGGTCACCGGCGGAACCCTGATGCCAGCCCATCAGCTCCAGGACCAGGTGCAAACGCCCTGGCCTGGCGCAAGTGAAGGCCTTCCGGCCCTGACCCACCCCTTGTTCACCTAAACTGCACCCTTTCACACCGTGAGCACGTCCGCACACAGTCCCTCCTACTTGGCATGTCGTGTCCAATCCCACACACCCGAAGCCACAGCACTTCCACGAGATCTCTCCTCCTCCACGGCTGTCACTTCTGTGCCCCCTGCACCTGATGGAGAGGTCAGCCAAGGCGTTGCTGGTGCCTTAACCCCGCTGGCTTGTTCCGCTCTCTCTCCCCCCACTAGATGGTCAGCTCCTTGGAGAGCTGGGCCACGTTCATTCATCTCTACGTTCCCAGGACCAGACCAATGTGCCCAGGGAACAGCTATCTGCTGGTGACTGACAGTTCACGCAGCACTGTCACATCTGACCCCATGATATTGGGCAAGTTGCTCCATCACTCTGAGCCTCAGCATCTTCAGCTATACAATTAATGGTCTTGTGAGGACTAAATCAGAAAATGTTCACGAGGACTTAGAAAGGCGTCTGGCACAATGAAAGCTGCCTCAGACTTCGGGCTGCCTTACAAAACCACTACTGGAAAGCCGCCTTTTTTTTTTTGTTTTCTTGTTTTTTGGCGGTACGCGGGCCTCTCACTGCTGTGGCCTCTCCCGTTGCGGAGCACAGGCTCCGGACACGCAGGCTCAGCGGCCACGGCTCACGGGCCCAGCCGCTCCGCGGCATGTGGGATCTTCCCGGACCGGGGCACGAACCCGTGTCCCCTGCATCGGCAGGCAGACTCTCAACCACTGTGCCACCAGGGAAGCCCTGGAAAGCCTTCTTAAAAACAAGAACAAAATCACAGCATCCAAGAGCTTCATGACTTGTGACCACACGAGTCCGGGACAAGGATGGCACAGGGTCTTGTTTCCTAGCTCCTGATTACCCCTGTAATTAACAGAGGCGACAGGGGGGCAGTACAGTTTAGAAACTCTTGCTAAAAGCTATTGGAGGGCTTCCCTGGTGGCGCAGCGGTTGAGAGTCCACCTGCCGATGCAGGGGACGCGGATTCGTGCCCCGGTCCGGGAAGATCCCACATGCTGTGGAGCGGCTGAGCCCGTGAGCCGTGGCCGCTGAGCCTGCGCGTCCGGAGCCTGCGCTCTGCAGCGGGAGAGGCCACAACAGTGAGAGACCCGCATACCGCAAAAAAAAAAAAAAAAGCTATTGGAAGAGGCGCATCTGCTTCCTCTTCCGGCCCTCAGCATCCAGATGCCGACCATGCAACAGGGAGAGGGTGGCTGAGGCCAAGAAGCGGTGCCGCATGTCCCAGAGCGACTCCCGAAACCTACAGGAACACGCCGGGCGACCTGAGCAACAGGCCCAGGAAGGGCCTGCTTAGTGCCTCAGTCTGGTACACCTGTCCCAAAATGCTAGGGAGAGAGTAATGTCAAGCCTGAGAGCCCACGGACCTCCTGGGCGGAGGGGGGCTCTCCTTGGGGTTTCACACACTTGTTATTAAGTCATCGGGTTTCCCAAGGAGGTGTCTGCGGAGCTGGGAGAAGCGGGTGTTTTTATTACCCACCTGTCTCCTGTTACACAAAGAGAAAATAATCTCTTGTTACGGCTGCACAGCCATGCTACCCAAATGGGTCTTGACTGTAGTTCCTAAGTATTTGTAAAGAAACTCTAATTAGCACGAACTCCTCTTCAGAAAAATGTCACTTAAAAAATATCAAGGGTCAGAACTGCAGGTGACACTCCCCACAGCATCCGGTTGCCCGAAGACAGGGCCTGTGAACACCAGAGACAGTGAGAGCATCCATGGCTTTGCGGGAGGTGGAGGATCCCTCACATGCCGCCTTTGAAGGAGGCCAGTTCCTGACTTCAAGTTAAAAACAAAAACTAGAAACTTTTATTTAGAGAGTTCTAAATCCACATCTCCAGCCCAGGCCTCCTGATGAGACCTGGGGCAGGCCGTCTTAACTGGCAGAGAACGACGTCCTAAAAACTGAAACCAGGCATGAGGAAAGTGAACCCAAGTCCCCAAGGACACGGAGGAGGAAGGAGGGAAGCCCTGGCGAGCTGTCGGGTGAACACGGGAGCCTCGGGGCTGCCCTCTGCGCAGGCTGGGCAGGGCCTGCTGCTGTCACGTGCAGGTCTCCACCCTTCCGCCTCTCCCGTGGGGCAGGAACAAAAGGCCCATTCTAAAGGGGAGCCAGCTGTCTCGGCCCCGTGAGCCACCCAGGCAGGCACTGAACAGCACAAGAGTCAAAGTCACAGCCCCGAACCGCGGCACCTGGGTGGCCAGGGGTGGAAGCTGCCTGGCTGAGGCGCAGGGCCGGCGCTCAGCAGGGGGCTTTGCCCAGGGGACCGCCCTCCACGCAAGCTCAGGAATCCCTCCCCTGGAGTGGTGACGCGACCTTTCGGGTCTCCTTTTCTGTCTTCTACGTAAAGGCGTGAACTTGGACATGTGGTGTTCTACCGTCCCAGGCGCTAAGCCTGCCTGCGGCTGCGCAGAGCAGCCCTGGGAGGTGTGCGGGCCCCAAGGGACCCGTCCCCCCAGCCAGCCCCCACCATAAGGCACCCAAGCAGAGGACGCCTCCTCCATGAGGCCCCCCCCCCGACCCACCCACCTGAAGACATCGCCCACCCCACCTCTCATCTGCGTCCCCCGATCTGTCACTCAGTACAGCTGCACTGTTAAATTCTCTGCCAGAAAGCACGTTACTTGTTTTGTTTGTCTTCACCCATCTCTTCACTGGCGTGTACACCTCATGGGGTGGGACCTGTCCTGTTCCGCCGTGCACACCATCCTAGTATCGCGCCTGACACGCAGCATGTGACCAGCAAATGTTTCTCTCTCCCTTTTTCCCCTTTCAAGTGATGGCTTCACATAAAACCAGATTATAGCAAAAGTATACTCAGCTAATTCGACCAGATGTATCACAACTGCCTTTGCTTGGGAGCTTGTGATTATACAATATTCTTCAGCTTTTCGGAAGCTAAACTTAAACCAAATTTGAAAAAACCATTCAAATCAATTCTTAAACAGTCTACCCAGAATTCCTACTTCTGTCACTTCTCAAAAAATGTTCTGAACAATCAGTAACGTCTCATGAACAGACAGTAGCCTACAAAGGATCGCAGGATCTTCTCGCTCTAACTGCCCCATCTCACTGCCCACGTGACACTGGTTAACGAACACTATGACCCTCGGTTCATGGTGCTGCATATTCATGTGACCTGTTACCATGGAGCTTGAGAGCCTGTATTAAACGCTTGTTTAATTTAAAATAGCTGCGCAACTGCCCATGGAGCAGGAGTCACGAGTCTGTGAACAGCAGGAACACGGAAAGTGTCTTTCAGTGAAGACAATTCTACACACAGCGTCCAGACAAAAAAAAAAAAAAAAGCTATTGGAAGAGGCGCATCTGCTTCCTCTTCCGGCCCTCAGCATCCAGATGCCGACCATGCAACAGGGAGAGGGTGGCTGAGGCCAAGAAGCGGTGCCGCATGTCCCAGAGCGACTCCCGAAACCTACAGGAACACGCCGGGCGACCTGAGCAACAGGCCCAGGAAGGGCCTGCTTAGTGCCTCAGTCTGGTACACCTGTCCCAAAATGCTAGGGAGAGAGTAATGTCAAGCCTGAGAGCCCACGGACCTCCTGGGCGGAGGGGGGCTCTCCTTGGGGTTTCACACACTTGTTATTAAGTCATCGGGTTTCCCAAGGAGGTGTCTGCGGAGCTGGGAGAAGCGGGTGTTTTTATTACCCACCTGTCTCCTGTTACACAAAGAGAAAATAATCTCTTGTTACGGCTGCACAGCCATGCTACCCAAATGGGTCTTGACTGTAGTTCCTAAGTATTTGTAAAGAAACTCTAATTAGCACGAACTCCTCTTCAGAAAAATGTCACTTAAAAAATATCAAGGGTCAGAACTGCAGGTGACACTCCCCACAGCATCCGGTTGCCCGAAGACAGGGCCTGTGAACACCAGAGACAGTGAGAGCATCCATGGCTTTGCGGGAGGTGGAGGATCCCTCACATGCCGCCTTTGAAGGAGGCCAGTTCCTGACTTCAAGTTAAAAACAAAAACTAGAAACTTTTATTTAGAGAGTTCTAAATCCACATCTCCAGCCCAGGCCTCCTGATGAGACCTGGGGCAGGCCGTCTTAACTGGCAGAGAACGACGTCCTAAAAACTGAAACCAGGCATGAGGAAAGTGAACCCAAGTCCCCAAGGACACGGAGGAGGAAGGAGGGAAGCCCTGGCGAGCTGTCGGGTGAACACGGGAGCCTCGGGGCTGCCCTCTGCGCAGGCTGGGCAGGGCCTGCTGCTGTCACGTGCAGGTCTCCACCCTTCCGCCTCTCCCGTGGGGCAGGAACAAAAGGCCCATTCTAAAGGGGAGCCAGCTGTCTCGGCCCCGTGAGCCACCCAGGCAGGCACTGAACAGCACAAGAGTCAAAGTCACAGCCCCGAACCGCGGCACCTGGGTGGCCAGGGGTGGAAGCTGCCTGGCTGAGGCGCAGGGCCGGCGCTCAGCAGGGGGCTTTGCCCAGGGGACCGCCCTCCACGCAAGCTCAGGAATCCCTCCCCTGGAGTGGTGACGCGACCTTTCGGGTCTCCTTTTCTGTCTTCTACGTAAAGGCGTGAACTTGGACATGTGGTGTTCTACCGTCCCAGGCGCTAAGCCTGCCTGCGGCTGCGCAGAGCAGCCCTGGGAGGTGTGCGGGCCCCAAGGGACCCGTCCCCCCAGCCAGCCCCCACCATAAGGCACCCAAGCAGAGGACGCCTCCTCCATGAGGCCCCCCCCCCGACCCACCCACCTGAAGACATCGCCCACCCCACCTCTCATCTGCGTCCCCCGATCTGTCACTCAGTACAGCTGCACTGTTAAATTCTCTGCCAGAAAGCACGTTACTTGTTTTGTTTGTCTTCACCCATCTCTTCACTGGCGTGTACACCTCATGGGGTGGGACCTGTCCTGTTCCGCCGTGCACACCATCCTAGTATCGCGCCTGACACGCAGCATGTGACCAGCAAATGTTTCTCTCTCCCTTTTTCCCCTTTCAAGTGATGGCTTCACATAAAACCAGATTATAGCAAAAGTATACTCAGCTAATTCGACCAGATGTATCACAACTGCCTTTGCTTGGGAGCTTGTGATTATACAATATTCTTCAGCTTTTCGGAAGCTAAACTTAAACCAAATTTGAAAAAACCATTCAAATCAATTCTTAAACAGTCTACCCAGAATTCCTACTTCTGTCACTTCTCAAAAAATGTTCTGAACAATCAGTAACGTCTCATGAACAGACAGTAGCCTACAAAGGATCGCAGGATCTTCTCGCTCTAACTGCCCCATCTCACTGCCCACGTGACACTGGTTAACGAACACTATGACCCTCGGTTCATGGTGCTGCATATTCATGTGACCTGTTACCATGGAGCTTGAGAGCCTGTATTAAACGCTTGTTTAATTTAAAATAGCTGCGCAACTGCCCATGGAGCAGGAGTCACGAGTCTGTGAACAGCAGGAACACGGAAAGTGTCTTTCAGTGAAGACAATTCTACACACAGCGTCCAGACCTCTGGTTTTCCCTTACTCGGGACTAACCCCTCGTGGGAGGAGCAGCTGGACAGCAATGCCACACGCTGTCCCCTGAGCGTTAACCGTCACCATGCGGTGCCCAAGCCCTGGAGGGCTCCCAGACGTGCCTCTCTGAGCCGAACACTGTAACTAAGGAACCAAATTACATGAGACACCAAGTTCCTTCCGAACTATAATTTTGGTAAAATTCACAACAGCCTCCAAGAAGGATAAGAGAATTTCTTCAAGTGGCAGTTTTTTAAAGAACAGATCTCCAATTAGAAAACAAAGTCCTGGGCTTCCCTGGTGGCGCAGTGGTTAAGAATCTGCCTGCCAATGCAGGGGACACGGGTTCAATCCCTGGTCCGGGAAGATCCCACATGCCGCGAAGCAGCTAAGCCTGTGTGCCACAACTACTGAGCCTGCGCTCTATAGAGCCCGCGAGCCACAACTACTGAAGCCCGCGCGCCTAGAGCCCGTGCTCCACAACAAGAGAAGCCACCGCAGTGAGAAGCCTGTGCACCGCAAAGAAGAGTAGCCCCCGCTCACCGCAACCAGAGGAAGCCTGTGTGCAGCAATGAAGACCCAACGCAGCCAAAATTAATTAAAAAAAAAAATTCCTCCACGTCTTTTAAAAAAAAAAAACAAAAATCAAACTCCTCACCCATTCCACCACTACATTATGTATTGTCTTAATCTTTTGAGCAAACTCAGCTGAAAGTTTACATTATTTCGGTCTTTACAGCTATTAATTAGCTAACAATCGGTATTCAAATTCTAGGATATGACGTTCCTTTTCTAACTAAGTCCTCCCAGGATGACTGCCCAACAGGCTCTTCTTTGTGAGGGGCCGTGTCCCACATCAGCACCGATGTGACGGTGCCAGTGTGAAGACCACCTGCGGGGCACAGGGCAGTCAGAGAAAAACAAGGCGCAGTCTGTACCAGGAGCGGGGGGGGG